TCCCCCCACAGTGCAAAGCCCGGCCCCAGCCCGGCCCAGCACCCAGGCTGGGCATGCCTCAGCAGCAGCGGGAGCAAGAATATGGTGAGGGTCAGCTGGGGTAGCAGGGCAGCAGGGGGCCAAAAGGTATAGATGGGGGGGAGATAAGTGGGTGGGGGGAATTGAAGTGCCCCTGCGGTCATAAGTGCAGGTAGGCACTCAAGTGCTCAAATTTTGATCATGTGACCGTGGGGCTGCTGCAACAGCCATAACTTCAGGCACAGGTTGTAAGTCCCTTTGTTCAATGCTGCTGTAACTTCGATTGGTTGCTGAATGAATGATCGTAAGTTGAAGACTACCTATAATGATGCTACAGAAAAAGATCATTTTAAGTATATATATTATTTTTCTTTATCTGTTTTATTTCATGTGTGGGGAAAGAGATAGCTAGAAACAATAATAATAATGCCAGTGAGGGAAAAAGAAAAGGGAACTTGTCCAAGCACAGGTACAAGTTCATGTTCAGGGCTATGCCATGATAATAAGAGAGGCAAAGCACCTTAACTTCTCCTCCCTTAGTGCATAATGTAGTTGGCCAGTGGTCATGCTTAGGATGGCCAACTTCCTTTTGAGAAGGGGTCAGTAAAATTGCTCAGATCTACCAAAGTCTAATTTTGCATGGGCAGTCTGATGTAGTGATCAGGCTTGTATATGACCATGTTATCTGGGTCTCCTTTTGGTTTGTGGACTCTGATGAAATGGTCCAGGGTGGATGATACAAAACGCTGCCAAGTGGTCTTCAAAGACAGCCACATGTAGAACTACTGGGGCGATGTTCTACATGTAGCTGTCTTTGAAGACCACTTGGAAGCTGCAGTTGGTGCAAAATGCAGTGGCCCACGCTAACTGGTGTTATTACCATAAGCACATTATACCAGTGCTGGAACCCTGCACTGGCTTCCAGTTGGCTTCCAGGTGCAATTTTAACGTTGTGCTATTTTTCCAAAAACTCATCAGTGGTGCTTCCATGTTAACTATTCATCTGAGCATAATGTGAACTGTTATCAACATATGAATTCCTATTTTCATATGCACCCAGAACAATCTGGATGTTACTAAGTCATACTTTCTGATATAGTGTTTAGTCCTTTCACTTATAATTAGACCTATATTTTCACTTTTTAGCATGTATTTGTCTATTCTATTCCATAACATCAGACTACCTTCATTCAGCTCTGTTGCATTCTTATCCTACCTTAGTTTCACAGACACACAATATATCTTCCTTCCTTTCATACTCTTTGTCATCTGCTCCTTTCATTCACAGTCTTTCATATCCTGTTGTCATCACTGGATGGGCCCATAGGTATTGACTTCTTCCACCCATCAAGGTTTTGGTCATTTGAGGCTTTCATACATAACATTTCTGTAATATAAAGAAGGTGCACATTAGATTATTAATCTTAGCCATATCCATTACACCTAAATGTGTGTATGGTAAAACTCAGTCTTACCAGGGTTAGCTGAAGCCTATTGTTCCCCATCCAGACCCTCACAGCCTGTAGGCACTGAGAGAGGACATCGGCAGCATTACTTAGTTCACCAGGGGCGGAGATATACAATTGGGATCATCAGTATCATCAGCATGTTCATGAGAAAATCCAGACAGTGTAATTGGAAAATATTAAAATAGGGAATGGCTGCTTGTCTTGTCTAATGATTTTGTGAAGATTGTATCAATACCAGATAATTGGAAGAACACTGTTACTGTTCTTCTATACAGAGTGAAATGTAGCAATAATGAAGGGTGAGTAGCTGTGTCCACAGCAAATTGCAGGAATTGCAGGAATGCAGTAACATCATAATACGGCATGCCACCATTACATATTTTTTTAGATTTTTTTTTATCCCGCCTTTATTATTTTTATAAGTAACTTAAGGTGGTGAACATACCTAATACTCCTTCTTCCTCCTATTTTCCCACAACAACAACCCTGTGTGGTGAGTTGGGCTGAGAGCGAGCCACTGGCCCAAAGTCACCCAGACGGCTTTCATGCCTAAGGTGGGACTAGAACTCACAGTGTTCTGGTTTCTTATTCCATTGTCCACATCAATCATAACTCCCTTGGTTTTTGATACATTCATTTTCAGATCATACAATCTTTCTTGCATTCACTGCATATCATTTGAGTTCTCAGCTAACCACACAATTTATCTGCATTCAAAGATACATGCATATTCATGTCCCCAGCCAACATACTCCAACATCACCACAAGCTCCCCTTACACATTTATGCAAAATTCATTAACAGCCAAGGGGACATTAGTAAGACATCTTTATCTTAATCTATGCTCAGTGTTGAACTGTTCACTAAACATTCAATTTATTCTTACACTTGCTTTAGTTTCATCATATATTGCTCTTACTGTATTCATCTCAAATAATTTCATCACTTTTATTTTTAAATCCACTTACTCTGCTGGAGGCTTTTTATTCTCTGTTTTCACCCACATCCAAAATCATTTTTTCCTCTGCATGTTCTTGCCTCTTTTAATCTTAACCATTCTTGGCTGTTTTTGTAACTATCTTTTTCTCTCTGTATACAATATAGTTCACAAAAGCTGCAATAAATCTGTTTTTGTCCCACCTTTTAAAGTAAACTATCATCAAGTTCACTTAAAATTAATTGTATAAAGAAACACAAGCACATCAAACCCACACAACATAACTGCTCCTGGTTTCCTGGTAGATTAAAGAGGTCAGAGCGAGCCTCTATTGATCTTTAAAGTGCTATAGTATCTTTGTTGTTTCTGCTGCATTGGGATATTGCAGCCTAACCTTTGAAGGATTCTGCAAGCAGATGTTCTTTTTCCTTGTGGGAAAATGGATTGGCATACAGCTCCCATGGATTACGTGGACAGTGCTTGGTTCTTTTTGTGAATAAATTCAAGGAGGAAGAGGGTTTATTGGTAGTAATATTGCAGAAATCCCATCCTCCCATGTTCCTGTTTCATATTTTTTTGTTAGTTGATTCATGCAGTAAATACAAATACGTGTGTTCTTACAGTATTAAAAATGATTAAGATGGCATAGAATCTGTGAATTCTGAATTCAGAATCTGAAAAGTGAATCTCTTTCACTAACTAGGCTTGGTAAGAAAAGTGGCTGTTGAAGAAGCTGATGTTTGCCTGATTTTGCAAAAAGGTGTAGTAAGACCTTTCGAGAAGACATTCAAAAGCAGCTTGTCCTCCTATTACAAGAGATGTGATGCTCATTTTTGATATGTAATTCAGAGTAAAAATATGTTAAAACCAAGCACCAGCTACAAGAAT